ACTTGTAATTCTTTGACTTCATAGAACAGTGCTGTAACCACTAGGCAAAGTTTAGGCAGAAGCTAGTTCCCACCCCTCTCTAGGACCCCTTTCTGAGGCGCTAATGTATCCTGGCCCTCAGTAGACCTCAGGAACTTTCCTGACACCAATATATATCTATGTATGCGAATAAACTGTCCTTGCCCTCAATCCTAACCTTCCCTAGCACCATCCAGTTAATTGTATCATTTTATTACCCCACTAGGAGAGTCCTACAGTGGCTGTTTTGACTAAATTTAGGACTACAAATATACACATTTGTAAAATGAAACTGTATTTGAAGCTGATGAATGTGGCTTGCTCAGAAAATACTGGGTAGTAAAGCTGGGGAAGGGCAGCATGTAGTTTTAAGCAATGAAGTGTCATTTACATAACCTCTGAGTCACTATTTTTTCCCTTCCATGCTGTGCATGGCTACTAAGGGTTCATTGTCCAGGCTGCTCTCTGATATCTTTACTCATTCTGGCATGGGTAAGAAAATAAAGAAAGGGTATCAGAATTTGTAAGAGGGTCATGATGGGATTTTCTGTGTTGTCCTAACACTCCCCTCATTGAAGTAAAAAATAATAAAATGTGTTTTGGTTTTGATAGGAGGAGGGCTGAATGAATGCTGGGCAGTTTTGAAATTCCCATTCTACATCTTTTTTTAAAGAAGTCCTCTGGTGTTTCATTAACATTAGATAAATGGAGTGTATGCTACTAGGTTCCCCCAGTGCCAACCACCTTGCTGATAACACCTGTGATACTGTGATTTCTGTAAACACTGGCTCACATGTTACTTCTAGGAAGAATGGTGCAGTACTGGCATAGTATTTTGTAAAGTGCCAGTCATGTGAATATGCACAGCTGCCTGCTGTTCAACTACAGTACAATCAATTATGGCTGACTGCCAAACAGGAAAAAAGCCAGAAGAGAAGCTAAAACCCTTCATGACAGTAATGTAGATATGAACATGGAAAGGTCCCTAAAATGTAGCCCTATTAGTTAACCTTAAACAGAATAAAACTATTGAGAATTTCTAATCCACTGATCAATACGTATTACATGCCCCTCTCAGTGCCCAAGCCCCACACATCTACACAGCCTGTAAGTCTAACTCTTTTGCCCAAGCAGTCAGTCAGTCATGGTCTGCCAGAGCCTAGAATGCTGAACAGACTAGTCTGGTTAAGGCATACCACTGTCTATACCAGGGGTCGGCAACATTTTTGGGCAGAGTGCCTAAAACACCCACAACCTTGACTTGTAAGCAGCTGGCATGCCAGGGCTGGATGGCAGGGGAACTGTGAGGGATCCAATCCTTGTTGTGGCAGTACAGCTCCAGTCCCTTCCCCAAAGTGCACATGCCAACCAAAATGCCTGTGTACACCACACTCTGGCACATGTGCTGGGGGGTTGCCTACCCCTGGTCTATACACAACAGCACACAAGAAGTAATGTGACTAACATTCACATCCAGCCACCTCTGACTCCCCAGCCCAAACAAACAAACTATTTAGAAATGGGTCAATTAGAGACAATCTCTTGCACAACTCCAGAAAGGGAACTTCAACAAGGTTACAAGTCCAGCTCTGGAAGTCTCTAGTTTAATCTACAGCAGTCAATTTCTGGGCATCCCATCTTCATAAAGTGGTAGTTTTGAGAAGGGTAAGCAGAGAAATGGTAGAAACCTTCAGGTTATCTTTCCAGATTCCAAACTGTTTGAACTCCTTGGAGAAAGACAAAGGAAACCAGATTTTAGGGACACAATGAAGCACTATGACAGGATATGTGGTTAGCAGTAATATTTCTATAGCTGGTCTGCCACTCCATCCACTCCCAAGTTCACAGGGCAGCTTTTCAACAGTATGCAACCAAGAGAAGTGTACTTAATAATGAAAAATATTCTGTTAATCTGTTTCTATCATCTCTGTCAAAGTCGCATCCTTTTTTGGTTGGTTTATTTGATTGGTTCTTTTGCATCACTGGAATAAGTAGACAGAATTTCACGGAGCTGACCTGCATACATTATTACATTAAAGATTTGCTACCACCCGCCAAAAATCTACTCTTAAAAAGGTACAATCTCAGAAACCCAGTGTGGCTAGAAATTCTCCATTTGAAATGTTATCTCAAGACTAAACTAAAGCACATGTCAGTTTCTACATTCTCTACACAGACTTGACAGAGTCAAGCAAGTGAAGAGAATACTTCAGCAGTGAAAAATATCTCCTCTGAGATAACATGCCTCAGATTACACTGCACAGATTACAAAGGTATTACACTACAGTACACTTATTAGAAGAGATTATAAAACATCACTTTCACACAAAAATGTTTGGGTAGAGGCCTCTCCTTTCAGGGCAAAACACTCAGAATTTATAATGAAAGGTGCACCCTTAAAAGATAAAGGTGCCCAGTAACCCTAGACTCTGAAGTCAGTTTCTGCAAAATGCCACATATCCAGACAAAGTTCCAGGCAAGATGAGATATATTTTATTAGACCAACTAAATAGTTGGTAAAATTGTTCTTTGCAAGCTTTCAGGCACAAACATCCTTCTTCAGCCATAGAGTCTGCCTATGTCCTTAGACCAACATGGCTAAAACCAACAACCCTACAACATGTCCATGCATTCATCTAAATGGAAATACTAGGCTTGACACCCCTAGTTATTGTCAGGGAATATAATGGACTTGAACATGTACAGTACTACAAAGCACAACTGGCAAAGGCTACTAGGTAACATTTGAAATGACTTGACTCAGTCATTTGATCAGAAAGGCTTAATATTTTAAGCATACTGGGTGCAACCTAAGTTCTACTGAACTTATCAGCTTCATTGAGACTAGAGTTTCATATACAATTCTCACTTAAGTGCAGTTTTACAACGTTTATTTAACGTAAACTTTAATTTGTAAATATGCAGAGCTGTCCAGAAGATATGAATCGCACTTCCCTTTACTAGACCCCCTGGTTCACATTGCTATTTATGAATCTAACATTCTAGTCTAATTGTGATAGGATAGCCTTCCTGTTGTAATTACATTGTGGTACAGCATTATTCAATCCACCTCCCTTTTTACTGTCACACCAAGAAATAGTATGCGCTGCTCAAGAACCTTCTTAATATGGTAATGGATGACCAGTCATACTTTGCATCTTTGATTAATGTTGAATTTCATGTACATTTACACCTTTAAAACCTCTCTCTCTGGCTCTGTAAGACTTGCCTTCCTTTCTGAACAGTGACCCAGCACAGGAGAGGACCCAGAGCTCAACCTAACCTATAGCCAGCAGGGAGGGGGGAGAAGTAAGTTTGGAGGTCGGATTGAAGATGACCTAGTGCCAGACATTCCCACTTCCTGGGTGTGTGTTCTAACCATGAAGCTATGATGTAAAAGGCAACTCCCCATCTTGGGGTTTTAAAAGAGAGCTGGGTTTTAAAGAAAGGAGAGGACCAACTACCTGTATGAGAAAGGATGACTTAAGTCTAAAAGGAAGATTCAGCCTGTGAAGCCCAATTTCACAGAAGCGCCTTCCAACAGCCCTGAGTTAAGTGCCTAAATCCACAAAAGGAAAAGGATTTCAGGCATATACCCTTTCTGAACAGTGTGAATCCCATTCCAGGGTACCTCAGTATCTCCCTTAAAAATGTAAGGAATTGAGGTGCCTGACTTTGGTTGTGAATTCCACCTATGGAGAAAAGTGCTGAACTTTGAGATGAGAAACACTTAGTATAGTGCCACCAAGGTCACTTTGTTTGCAACATTTTCTGCATAGCAAACATGCCTAGTGTTAGCAGTCAGCAAACAGAAGATATCAAAAGATACTGGAATTTTTTATTTATAGAAAAATAGCTAATGCTGCCCTGAGGAAGCAGGTATGTCTACTAGATCTAGAGTACTGGGCTTTTTAATACACCTGCATACTTATAGGAGAAATGGTTTCTACTTCATTTTTCACTGGACTTTCTTCCTGTTTTGTTTTTTTATTCTTCAGAGTCCCATTTTCTGGCATGCAAACCAGAATGAGCCGAACCCAGCATATGACTTTACGCTACAGCAAAGTAGACTTAAATTAAATCAAGAAATTTCCTAACTGTAAGAATGGTAGGACAGTGAAACAAGGGAAGTTGTGGAGTCTATTTTCTTGGGGGTTTTCAAGAAGTAGCTAGATAAGTATTTATTTGGGATGGTTTAGGAATAATACGTCCTGCATTTGTGAAGGGTTGGACTAGATGACTCTGGATGTCCCTTCCCACCCAAAGCTTCTATGAAAGCATGTAATATTTTGCTGGCACTTCTTGCTCACTTTGATGTCTTCTACACGTCTCCTCTTTGCCTCAGTGAGGAGCCTCTGTTGCTGTGCCATGGTTCACAACCATTGCCTCCCTCTTGTTCAGTTGAGCATTCTCTGACCCACAGAGGAGCTGGGAAATTTTCCAAGCCCAGCAGGCATGTGTTTTGGAGTCCAAGCCCTCTTGCAGATTAGAATCCACTCACCTGAAGCACAAGAGAGAATGCATAGTGCACGGAGAGACCCCAGTCATCCAAAATGATTAGGAACCACTGATACAGATTTGTGATCATGAAAGGAAAAGTAATAAGTACACCACAGTTCAACTAGTGTATGCGGGAGATGATAATAACACCGATGAAGCAGGTAGTATCGTGTTAGTTTAAGCCCATGTTGAGAGACTAAGTAAAAATTAGTGTTCTTATTGCCCCAAATCTACTGAAATTTGTACAGTATTGGTGTAGGTCACGGATTTTGTTAGTATAGAAGTTGTATTATCTTCCATTCACATACAAAGTTGTATTTCAAGCATTAATCAAAACTCAAGGAAAAAGGGAAAGCCTATTGTTTTGTTCAGCCCAGATTCATGGATTTTATACACCCACACCCACTGTACACTGATGATCACTTGTTATCTTCCAACTATAACTGAAATAAAACCATGTGCATGTGGTGATTCAAGCTTACCTATATCCCTATCTCTGATGCAGTAGTCTGGAGAACTCTCAAAGTATACTAGATCATTCTTGGTGGGCCTCTTAAATCTCTTGTTAGCCACCGTGAACCCAGTGCCATCTTGATTCATGACCACCTGAATTGCTCCTTCGTATTTCTTCCACAGATAATCTCCTGTTTTCCTAAAGTCTGCCATGGCCAGCCAGCAAGTTCTTAGAGTACAAGATCCACTCACGCCATGACACTTGCACTCCTGTTTCAAAAACTTCTTTACAGCCTGCCAGAAAACACAGTGAAATAAACAGGTAAAACAAATAAAGGAGGTTACTCTGAATTTATGCTTTTCATTCCCTTTCCATTGATCCAACAGTCTCATCTTTGAACTGGGTCCTGAAATCATGGTCTGTGGTGACACCCACTGGTAGCAATGAGTCATCCTCAAAAGGTTAGTCTAGTCTGCTCAGTTGACTCAAGTATGCAGACAACCTTTTTCACTGGTATTTTCATCCCTGCCTCTGTTTCCAGTCTTCCTGAAGATCCATACAACAGCAGAGAAATCACTTCCTTCCTCACCAGGTCCATGAGATATGGGATGGATATTAACTTATGATGATAGAACACAAACATCTTGAAGTTAGTAGAATGCACATGTGCACGCAAGGAAAGATTTGGGCCTCTTGTTTAGGGAAATGCTACAGCTCTGCTGACATTCACTTTGAGTTTTCACCAAACCTGTCTATTTCAATTTTATAAGGTTGCCAATTGTTGATAGTGCCTTTGCCATAATTAGGTAACAAAACTATGGAATTTTTCACCTTAAGTAATTTTTTCCACCAAAATGTCAATACAAAAGTGGGTCGTAATTTAATATGGCATTTTTGCAATAATTGTGCCCTGTTCCTCAATCAAAACTGCCCATGATTTCTGAATACCTATCTGCATTTAGAAATTCACTTAGTTTCCTATTATTCTTTACACAGACAATATGAAGCATATTCTATCACCAAATAACAACAGATTTGAACTAGTTGTTTTTACCTACATAACATTTTTAAGCAAGATACTTGCAAAATACCTATTTTTAAACTTTTTACCATTTTTTTTACTTGTACTTTTACATTTTTACATTTTTACTTGTACTTGAAGACTTTATTCAATCTTTAAATAAGTGAAGATAGTGTTTAAACATCATCTGGTTCATGGCAAGTATGAAAGACATTTATATGGATAGTATTGAACCATAAACTGTTTATTATTGATTTGTTCCAGAGTGAAGACATTTGATCTCAAGGCATTATATCTCTGGAAGTCTACTTTCAGTGTTCATGAAATATTGCACATTAGAGTGCATTTCAGGCAAAAGTTCCACGCCAATGGGAATGGAACAGGAGTATGGTGGAGTAGCCCTTTTGAACCAAGTATTTTGTAATGAGGTTATAGTGTATTAGAAAGTCCAAGAAAAGACCAACAATTTTGCTTTTCATCTCTGACTGGTAAACAATTTATTAGGTTACTTTGCTGTTAACTAGTCACTGACATTCTCACAGCCCCATTTTGGGTGATGAACTTATGACTGCAAAACAAGACCTCAATTCAGCAATGAACTTAATTACTGGCCTAATTTTGACAAGGACTGTGACCTGTACTCTTGATTTCAGATGAAAAATAACTGTGGGCACAATTTATATCATCTAGCTGTCAGATTTGTGGGTGCATTCAGGTAGTGAAAGGCACTAAACTGTAAATCTAACCTACTAAACTCTGAAGGCAAAATGAATATCCTTTCTAAAGAGCAGGGGCTAAGTGCATAGGAATTGTTTTATAACTCAATGATTTCTTGGCTAATTTTAATGCAAGACATATGCCTATATGGTGAAAGACAATCCCCAAGCTATCTTTGTGTTTACTCTATCCAGCCGGTGCTTAGCTCTATGACAAGCACCTAGTATATAGTAACACAACTAGACTGATCCCAGTTCTGGTGCTATCGTGTGCAACACTAACTTGGGTATTTCTGCACCATGTTGCCTTGTGCCATGCAGACTCCTGTACATGAGCTACCTTGGGTATCTCTGCACAGCCATGTGCTGTGTCATGTAAACGCATTGTTAATGAAGTCCCTTCATTGACTTTAAGCCTCAAACCCACTTGCCTCCTAGATATGCTAATTTATTTCAAGATCCCAATCAACTGTTTTTCCATACCAGTGTTAACAGGTATTTACATTTTTAAAAAGTTAATAAGATATTCAAACACTGTAGGGAGTGCTCTGTGCCAAGAAACTTTCACCCAGCTAAAGTCATGAGCTTTGTTACATATTGAGTCAAAAGCACAAAGCCAACTGTAATAGCACTCTTTTCACTAAGATGCATAACCTCATCTCATTAAAAAAATGCTTTGGTTATGTCTTTATGAAACTAGGATGTAGGGGGAGGGTTAGCAAAGCAAATCAGTCTAACCTGGAGGATCATCCACTTACATCACAATTAACTAAAGGAAGGATTAGAATTAGATAGATTGTTCTTATACACATTGGGGTTCTTTATAAAATAAATGTGTAGGATTTTTAGGGGATTATTTTCATACTTTCATGGCTGGTAGGGTCAGAAGGGACCTGAGCAGATCAAGTTCGACCCAACTTTTTTTAAATCACAGACTATGAAAAATCCGTTTTCTACATGATATGCATTCTAAAAGAAAGGTTCTTCAACAAAAACTTCTCAAGTCTTCATTTAAACAAACAAGTCCTATTCTAGTATAAGAAGCATATATTGAAATGGGGCGTTCTGAATCTTTTCAGAAGCTAGGCATATAAAGGAACCTAGTATCACTCTTGACCAATTAAGCAGCACACTCCAGTAACATATAGCATACTCATTCTTTATATATACACCCTATAAATGCCAAAGCAAAAGGTCAGGGTATATATTTTCCAACCCAGTGCACAAGCAGTAGACAACATACCTAACAGTTATATCTATTTTACCATCTACATGAATAGAGATGTTATTTTTCCACATAAAAAATATTACCCATATTTTAATACAGTGTTTATAAACACTTGGTCATATATCCTTTGAATTAATTGAGTGCAATTTGTTGTGATTTGTTTTTTAATTGTTCTATATTTCTTATGAGTGAAGTATATTTCATCCTCTCCGATCTTCTCTGCAGGTTTATTATATACATTACATGCACTGTACTGCTTTATTTCCTTACTGGGTAGAAGAATTTGCTCTTTTTCAGCTGAGCCTGCCCTTCAGTGTACTCTTTTCAGAGGTTCACAGGTTTTCATTCTTTATATTAATTTATACTCATAAAGTATATTTATTAATCCTTGCAGGACTGAGGCCTTAGGTGGATGGAAAAGATGCCAAATAACTTGTGCTGTACCTCTTCATAGGGGAAAAATTTGTCCTAAGCGCATTGTTGAAAAATGTCAATGAGAGTCAAAGGTTAATAGCTCCAGAATGACGCAAGTCCCCTTCTGTAAACATGGTAAACATTATTAGGACATTTAGGAGAAAAAAAACACTTACCATAAGCAACCAGTAACACACCCACCTTCCTTCCAGCTCTGTTGTTGTGAAGGTTCATTAATGCTCTGGCATCTTTTCCTTTCCTTTCTTTGGCATCTACAAATGCTCTGGCAAATTTGACGCCATAGTCAATGTTATCACTGCAACCACCCCAATCAAAATGGCCTTTGTTGTCCTTGGCAGACCCTTTCTTCTTAGGATCACAGGAGCATGATTTTAATTCTCCTTGACTACATGCCCTTGTGATAGCAAAAACAACTCCAGCAGAGGAGATAGCATAGACAAAGGCAGACTCCCGACTACCTGAAACAAAAAGGTTGGTCTTAAAATGTGTGAGCTATCTGGCTTGATTGGCAACATCAATTCTAGACAGTTTTAATTGTTAAAATCCATTGACTTTGTACTGAATTAAGCAGAAATTGGTTTGAAGCCACACCTGGTGTAATTCCACTGGAGTCAAAATTACACATGGCTTTAATATAACCCCTTCCTAGTAAGAGTTCATTGAAAGACATATTAGGTTAAGAAACATCAGAAGTTTGTTTAATATTTTTACTGATATTCATAAATTGGTTGTATTACATGGCTATACCACTAGGGAAGCTGGTATTCTGGCCCCTTTTAATGGGTTTGGATTTAGGAGAACTTCAGGAACAGTATCTTAGAAATTGTTGATTAAGGAAAGAACTCCATGCATAACGGAATGTAACTTAACTGCAAATAACTTTTCAAGCAAACTCTCTTTCTTCAGAGATGCACATTCATCTTTTCTATTTAAAACAGAGTAAAAGATATCTTTGATTTTATTGTAAGAAAACAAATGTTTTATCTAGAAGCTAAACTCATTCATTTAATTTACACAAATAAGTCCTACTGAAGTCAACAGGGCTACAAACAAAGTACGTCTACACGAGATGCTTTACTGCACAGTAGCATAGCTTACTATGCAGTAAATGTGTACACACATACAGATTACTGTGCAATACACCTTGCTAATTGTAAGTAAATTTGCTACCTGCAAGTGCAAATAGCAAATTTACTTCTGATTACTTACTGCACAGTAGCACTTGTGTGGATGCCTGACTGGGAGCAAATCTGCTCCCAGTCAGCCAACCACCAAGGGGCAGGAGATTGTTCTCTGCCCCCAGGAGCTGCCAGGCTCTGCCACCAGAGCCTGGGCAGGGACTACGTCCCCCTGCCCCAACAGCAGGGAGCTCAAAGGCCTCCTCTGAGATTGTAGTTGGGGAGCAGGGCCTGGGAGATCCTTATCTCCCAGCCGCCACTTCCCCACCGCTATCAGGGAGGGAGGGAGATCCTTATCTCCCAGTGCCAGCTCTGTGTCTGTGAGGCCAGCGCTGAGAGATCCTTATCTCCCAGCTCAAGCACGTGTAGACACCTGCCCAGGAGTGTTTACTCGTGAGTTGTTTACTTGCAAGTAAACTGCTCCCACATCAAATGCACATGTAGACACACCTACAAATGTCACATTTGTCCTGGGAAAAAATGTTTTATTCCAAGACAAAAGAGCAACTGTTCAGACATACATGTCCGTTGTCTCAGGATATATCCTTAAAAGGTTCATGTGAAAAGTGCTGTTTACCCTGGGACACAGGAAAGTGTGTCTGAACAGTTATCCTGAGATTGTATCACTGAATCAATGGCAGAAAAGCAGCAATACTTTCAGACACTCACTACACCCTGATGAGAAGGGTGATATGTGTACACACCAATCCCAGGAAATTTCTGTTCCAGGGCAAAAACACTGGCATAACTTGTCCAGGAACTGATGCAATGTTCCTAGGACTTTGTGGGAGCATCTACACATTAATTAATGCGCAGTAGTTACTGAGCGTTTAGTTTAATACTTGCTTAATGAAGTACTACACTTGATCTGAGCCAACAAGAGGCCGAGAAGCAATGTGCAGGAACTACATTTACTGCACAGTAGCACCAGCGTGCGGTTTTTAGTGATGCTTACTGTGCAGTGGTCTAATAGCACCGTTTTTGCTCTGCACAGTACTGTGCAGTGTTATTAGGCTACTGCACATTAAGCATCTTCTGTAGACATGCCCAGTGAATGATGGTGGTTAACAGGATTTGTTTCTGTAATTGTATTTTCACATGCCAAGTATTCGTGCAGTTCTATTTCTTTATTACACTAAGGACTATACCCTTTCATAGGCTGAAAGTTATATATTTTCATGGAATAACTACAGAAAGTTATTTTAATAATATGTAGTAACTCATAATATAGAGCTGTGCTATATTAACAAATATAAGACTCTTAAGGGTTTTAAACTATTTTCATCATTAAATGGTGCTGTATTTCTTTATTATTATGCTTACTTATTAATGGCTGCACAATAGCTATATTAACAACTTGAAGAAAATGTGTCTGTAAAGACAAAGCAGTTAAATGATATCAAGAAGTGAGAGACTTGTAAAATCATATTGTATGTGAATAATAGCTGGAAGATCAAAATCCTTACGTAGTAGAGAAACTGCTCATTTCAGATTTAAAGTTTTCTTGTTTTAGTTTTATAACAGTGGACTAAAAAGACTACATATCATTTGTTCTGCAAGTCTATGATTGTAAATCATAACACCATATCTACAACTTATTAAATTACATTTATCTCACATCCTTAAAAAGTACCAGCCAATCTGTTTGGTATAAATTATATGAAAATGTACATGAGAGTCATTTGTGTTCTTCAGAATTATGTGACAATTTTTAAAAGCAACTAAAAGACTGGGCAAAAGATGATCCTAACTATAACAACAAAAAAGATACTACAAGTAAATTTGTGCCCCTAAATGCAGTCTTCAAAGACTATACAAATCTAGCACAGGAAGTGGGAAGTAAACCTTTTTGCATCAGCTAAGCCAACTAGGAATAAAATGGAATCTTTCCTTTGATTTTTCTTTACTACAAAACTGTATTATGTTAAATAAGACCAAGGAGATAAACTAGTTATCATGATGCTGTCTATGACTTTATAGTAGGTGTAGACAAGAACAAATCAAAACTGTGTCATTTTATGATTAAACCCTACTGGGACTATGATTTGCTATGATTCACTGATTTGACTTATTATTATCTAACATATATTCTGATAGCATCTGGAGGCCTAAACCAAGGGTGGTTCCCATTGTACCAGGCACTGTACAAACAAATGGTAAACAGTTCCAAAAATCATAAAGAAATACTGAACAGGACTTGGCCTTATCTACTGTGGTTGCCAGGTCATGTGGAAGATTAAGTTAACTAACTCAGCTCTTCGCAGTCATGTTGTAAGACAATCTCATTTCTGAAAAAGAAATGATTTAAAAAATATCAAAACATTTTGCTTCAGCATATTCAACATTTGACAACCCTAAAATAGAAATGCTTTATGTCCGTTTGCTAAACTGACAAAAAACACTTCATGAAACATTAAACTGCATTTATTTACTGTGATACATTGGCCCATCTATACCACTGTAGTGGCAGGTCCCAGCAAAAACTAAGCGAACAGGAACGCTTCAGACCTGGAAGTCTGCCGGTCTAGCTGCTCCTGGCTTACCCCCAGGAAACTTTCTCAGGTCTAAGGCAGCTACACTAGCAAATTCCTGGGTCATGAACATAGATGCAGATTCAGCCCTATTCTTATTGTACTGATGTTATAGACAAATCTAGTGTCTCACAGAAGCTGCAGTTCATGAAACTGATGTCTCCACTCTCCCGTACAAACCAGTATCCTTTCTGCTGAAAAGAGTAGTGTGACTACCTAGATACAGCATGCAGCTTGGTCAGATGGGGATTTGTGTTGCATCAGGAGAGATGTTTCCCTCCACAGAACCCAGACAGAAGAAAGGAGTCGAGGAATACTACAACTCTCACAAGACAGTGTATCAATTAGGAAGTGCAGTTTAATATTTTGTTGAACCGATTCAAAGTGAAACATTTTCAGGTCAGTTCAACAGAAAGAAAGTCTGAAAGTCGCTCCAACCTAAAACTTACTGTTCAATTTCATTTTTTTCCAACATAAAATACAAAACCAGGGGTATTTGGAAATATTAAAATTATCCTGCAGAAATTACTTGTTTGGCAGAAACTACTGATGAAAAATACCAGGTAATTCTCATATATACTGACATCTCTTGTAACAAAACTGTGGCCTCATGTGTTTCCATAGGCCCTCTCTACACTGTACTTGAATTTTAAACCAGATAAAGATATATGATCTGTATCTACACCAGGAGTTATCAATTGGGCATATGCGTACCTCTGAGGGTACTTGAGAAGGCCCTAGGGAGTACACACAAGCGGACGGGGATAAAGCACCACCACGCACCATCCCACACTGCTGGGCAGGCGCCACCCACTTGGCTGGACCATGCAGGGCAGGGGAAGCTCGCACGTGGTGGCTGCTGCCACTCCGCATTTGGCCGCATGCCACCACTTCCCCCACTCCACGTCCAGCCACCGGATCTACACTGATCCAAAAAGGTTGAAAACCCCTGATATACATATAACAGAGTTGGTATTCCTTTAACAACCATGTGGGCTAACTGGAGGAATAAACTGATTGTTTGCCTGGGTGCATGATTCTATCTATCTGTGCCTATGCCCATATATTCAGTTTGATTCAGTCTACTCTAGCTTTCTGCGTGGCAGCAGACATCACAGACTGCAGTGTTCCACTTTCTGCCAGTACCTTTCTGGGAGGAACGTACGACATGATTACTACAATATAACCTCATAAATATGGAACTATAAAAAATCCAGCACTTTTTAAAACTACACTCCATCGAGGAGTAGCGGCAGGCGGGCCCAAAGCACCCGGCGGGGGGGGGGGGGGGG